GCGCATAGTGCTCGATGGAGTCCAGCCCGCTGCAGCCGAACATGCATGAGGCCGTGCGCTGGAAGCGGCGCGCCGTGCACCAGCCGTTGCACAACGTGCGGAGGAGGGCCGCCAGGACCCGGGCGGGCACCTTCCCAGCTAACAGCTTGAACACGTTCAGGGCACGCTGCACCCTGTGGCCAGGCAAGACACGAATGCCCCATCTGTCCAATCGCCGCCGGAGGAAGCGAAGGGCATGCTCGTCGGCAGCGGGTCGAAGGAAATCCCGAAGGGTCCCTGGCCAACGCCTGCGGCAGCGGTCCTGCAGCTCTGCCGCTGTGAGCTCCGTCGCGTCCGCGTGCTGGAGGATCCGGCCCTGGGCGACCTCCGCAGGGAAAGCATTCTGAATGAAGAAGGCGTTGGCCGCCCAAACGTGGCAGCACATGGCATTGTCGTACCACGGGGCCCAGACGGCGAGGCGGTCCAGCCGCTCGGTCTGCGAGATGGCGTCGCGGAGGTGCCGGCGCCGGGCCTCTATCTGCAATCCCCCCTCCTCGCGGGCCTCGTAACGGAATGCGCGTGCACGCGCTGCCAAAGGGAGCTGTTCAAGGTCGTCCAAACCACCGGCCATCCCGAAACGCGAAAGGTCCCGCAAAAGGGCAGGGGAGAGCCACCCCCGCGGGCCGGGGAAGAGGAGCGTCATGATCCGTCGGTCCGTCGTCTCCCAATCCGGGGGAGGGGGCAGGAGCTGGGCCACGAAACCGGCGGTGGAGGTGATGTACACCCGGGCCGCCAGGAGCGACACCTGCATTCCCCCGCCCACTCTGCCCCAGGCCCCAGCCCTGTCGAGCATCTTCTGGAGCGGTTTGAACCACGACTTGCGGCCGCTCGTCGGGCCCAGCACGAACCCGAGGTACTCCGTGTCAGACGCGACCCGCATGGCGGCCCATGCGGTCGTGACTTGGGCAATGGCCTGGCGCGAGTCCTCAAGCTCCCCTGGGGACAATGGGATGATGACAGACTTCCCCAAATGGAGGTGCAGCCCGGAGAGACGCGAGTACTCCTCGAACAACGTCTCCAGCCGCGGGGCGTCGGCCAGCATGTCGCCCGTCACCAGCGCCAGGTCGTCCGCGTAGGCCCGGACCAGGGCGGCGGGGAAGAGGCGCGCGAGTCGCCGCAGCAACAGGTCCGCCGCGATTGCGAAGATCAGCGGCGAAAGGGGATCTCCCTGGCGGACGCCAGCCGTGACCGAGAAGCCACGGAACCGCTGGCCAGCTACCACAATGTGCACAATGTTGTCCTCGTAGATGTTGGCAACGAACTTGACGAGGAAGTCTGGGAGCCCAAGGTGGGTGAGCAAGTCGAGGATGAAGCCCTGATCGATCGATGGGAAGGCAGCCTTGAAGTCGAAGAAAAAGCTCGCCCCCCGCGCAGACCGCAGCGAGACCTCCATCATCCGCTCCTCAATGTCCAGCACGTTGGCCAGCAGCGAACGGCCGCCAATGAACCCACGCTGGGAGCGAGAGACCCAGCTCTCAAAGAGAGGTTCGACCCGGAGCCGCACCGCCTGCGAGAGGATCCTGCCATCGAAGTTCGTGGGACACACACACACACAAATAAATACACACAAATAACCAGATTCCCCATATTTTCCAGCATTTTCTGGGTCTCTGTCTTCCCCCCACTGCCTATATTTTCCCATATTTTCTGGGGAATCGACGATTACTTGTGTCTGTGTGTTTCTTTCCCTCCTGAGAGGTGGCAGGCGGGAGGGAGACGGGCAGGGAGCAGCCGACCACCTCTGCCCACCTGATCCCTGCGCCTCTGGCGCTGCTCCTGCCTCCTCCCTCCCCTCCCCGCCTCCCCCCCCCTCCCTTCCTCCCCCCTCTCTCCCTCGCCTCCCTCTATCTCCCTCCCTCTCTCCCCCTCGTTCCCTCTCCCCCTCCTCCTCGCTCCTCCCTGCTGCGCCCTCTCTCCCCCGCCCTCTCCCCCCTCCCCCTCCCTCGCCCCGCTCTATCCGTCCTCCTCGCCCCCGCCCCCATCCGATCCTCCCCCCTGCCGCTACCCCGCACTCCTGCAAGTGCTGCTCGGCCCGGTCGGGGCTCGCGCTGAAGCCGGTCGTGATCCGGAACGGCCCCGCGACGATGCTTGCGCGGTAGAGCAGCCGCCCCTCGAGAGAATGCTGGGGAAGGCCTCCCGCTCCTCCTCCTCCTCCTGCTTTTCCCCCTCCTCTTCCTGGGACGAGTTCTGTGCTGCTTGTCAGTATGCTGGTATGCGGCTCCAGGGGTTGAGGCCATCAGCAGTGATGATAGTCGCAGTGCGCATGTAGATCTGGTGGGAATTCGAGAGGGGCCTCTTCGTGCAGGTAGGCGTCGTGCTGTACCAGAATTGTGCTCCTCCTCCGAAGCTTCTGGTGGCTTCCTCTGCATCCCCCATGGAAGCCTGGCCGTAGAGGGCGAAGACTGGGCAGCCAGGCCGGACCTCCGCTCCCCGAGGGGTGTCTAAAGCGTCTTGCTGGCGGGGCTTCCGGGGCCGTCGAGTGGCAGCGCCGCTCCCTCCTCGCCGTCTTCGTCGTCCTCGTCGTCCTCGTCCTCCTCCTCCTCCTCCTCCTCCTCCCTCCTCCTCCCCTTTCCTCCCCTTTCCTCCCCTTTCCTCTCGAAAGAGCACTGCGCTCGCTGAGTTCATATCCTGGGCCTTCTGGGGAAGCTCTGGGTACCTGGGCTCACGGGTCAGCGTGGTCCTGATCAGCACTCCTGTGCTGATGATGGTCTCGCGCCGCGCCATCGACGCGAAGAAGCCCTGCTGGTCCAATGTATTGCAGATTTCCAGTTGCAGCGTTGTGGATGGTCACAAGCTGTCACGACTTAGCCAACACTTTATCGTCCAGAAGCTGGTCGTGCATGAGTGGCATTATGCATCAGATGTTTGCTCCTGGCTCTGAGTCGTTTGGACGTCAACGCTGTCAATTAGCTGCAGTTACTCTTGCGGGGTTTGATCGAGACATCACGTTCAACCCTGGATGTGGTGGGGAAGTTTGAAAAAAGGGTTGGGAGACCCAACCGACAGGTTCGCTTTAGGCGAAGCCCAGCTCCCGCTCTGTTGTATCGTAGTAGCGATACTCCCAGTAGTAGGGGGCGAGCCATCGCAAACAGTATGTTGGTATCGATGGCAAATAGTACACCTCGCGCTGAGGTGTAGTCAGATCTGGGCGGCCAGCCGTTTGAGCCACGCGGCCGCGGGCACACGTTCGCTTCCGCCCCCGGTGTTCCCAACTCACTTTAGAGTCGGGGGGGAGGGGGACGAAGCGTGAGTCCGCCGCCCCTTATACAGCAAGCACAGCAGCTACTATCTACAAAAGGGCAGCAACAGGGCGGGGCCGTCAGGAAGGTGGACCCGCACGCAAGCTGCCTTGCCTGTACTATTTTGTGCACAAAGATACTCCTCAGGCGGCCACAGAACAGGATGTCTGGCCAGCCCGATAGGGAGTGTGACTCTTGAAGTCATGTTTGAAGGATTGTATACCTCCCATGACCTGTAGGAGCATATCTCTGTCGATGCTCCCCTTGGTGCGACCGTCCGCAGTCATATCGCGGGTGTCGCACCACTGAATACTGTGCACGATTCCACGCTCCATCATCTGTCGTATCCAACTGATGTGTCCTAAAAGGGTACACTCAGTCGGCTTCTTCAGCTCTTTGCTTGACAAGGACTTGAAAACATACTCAGCATATATGGTCCAAGTAACCTTGATGCTCAGGCCATCCAACTCAAGTCTGTATTTGAACTGAGTGAGCAGCCCTGCGTGAAGCTCGTGCAGAGTCACAATCGTGGGGTAACAGTCCTCCAAATTATGGGCAGCTGCTAGCGTCTCTGCTGAATAGCTCGAGCGGGCTTGCAAGCGGTGACACTTGCAGTGCGCGTCGGTCAAGTGGACGGCGGGCTTGCCAGATGGCGTGGTTCCACGCCATAGCAGGCTTGCTCCGCGAGTACCATAGCCCTTGATGTCGTCATCGGCGTCTCCACTCAGGCGTCGGTAACCTGAGTCGCTGTGCAGGTCGACCTCGCCCGCAAAGGGAAATCGCCTGATGGGCGATCTTCTTGAGACAGGCCAGGTCTGCAGTTCCCGGGTGGTCGCGTTCAGTCGTCGCACTTGTATGTTGGTCAGTTCTTGGACACATTGTAGAGATACCACATGCACCACCGACCACGCGTGGGTGATTAATGCATGCGCCAGCGCGCCTCTGAGGCTGACGAACATGTCTGCAACTATATTGGGCGCCTGAGCGTCAGTGTCGGCGCTGGTATGTTCATGATGTTTTATAGGACGGAGCTGCTTGATGTATTCGTCTTGGCCCAAAGTAACATTGCCGTCCTCATCCTTGGTATGTCTCACAACACCATTGGTGCACGTGTGCATTTTGACATTAAACTTACCAGAGGTGTCCTCTACGCACTTAACATACTTGCCAATGGTGCCCCCAGTGCCGGCCATAGTGCTATGATCAACATGTTTGGCCATGAGCAGGTCGGGGCTCGTCTCGAACTCCTCGTCGCAGGACGTGGGTCAGAGACCAAACCCTCTGGTGGTCCTTCTGAGTTTTAATGAGAAAGCTCGGGGTGCGTCTTTGGTGCCAGTGCCTGGTTTAAGGCACTGCGAGCAGTGCTTTGACTCGTCGTGGCGTTCGAATCCTGGGAGAGTCCGAAGTGCCGTGGCCGATCCAGGCGGCAAAAAAAAAAACGCAAAACGCACCGCGCGTTCCTTTTCACCAGTTGCCTCGGCAAGTTCCTGGTAGGTCAACCCTTTCAGGACGGCCATGTTGATGTCGAGGAAAGCAATGATCCATTGCTTCTTGCGCGCTGCCGTGCTCGCGAGTAGTCTCCGGCTTGGCCGCCGCGCCGTTCCCGAGAAGGCTTCCACGCCGAAGGCTTCGAGGTCCATGAAGCCTCGAAGCACCAGGCGCAATCTGATGGTGCGTTCCATCTCGCCCATCTCGTTCTTCACAAGCTCCCATTTATACACATATCTCGAAGTCATGATGTTCGACGCTTTAGATATGTCTTGCATCTTGAAACACTTGTTGTCAAACCACGTCTTGAATTCGGTGTAGAGGGCCTTCGGTACTTTTCTCGGGATTCGCCCGGATGTCAGCCTTCGCGAGGAGGTCGTCTTCCTTGACGACCGCAGCTCGCTTTGCAGCGGCGGTGGCGTATACTCGCATAATGGTCACACGGTCGGCATCTAATATCAAGTGCTGTTGTTCGGACAGGACTACCTATGACATTTCTGCCGTAAAGCAGAATTCCACATATTGTCCATTTTCGTCTGAGTCCAGTCCGTAAGTACAGTCTTCGACCATGGAGCACAGTGGGACATGATACGTCTCCTCGGTGTCGGAGTCGCGTCGGTGCCCCCATTTAGGCAGGTGCCCCCGCTGTTCTTCAGCTACAGTGATCAGCGCACTACTGTCTGGAACCATCTGTGTGGGTATCGTGAAAAGGTCCTCTAATGGAATTGCCTACATCAGTGCCCTTTCATCCTGTAGTTCTGCATACCGCACTTCCATGACGTGTGACTCGAGGTCAGCCTCCAATTCCTCATAGATCGTTGGAAGCCGTCCATCATCATGTGGTGGTTCGGCTTCCGGGGCTTCCCTAGCAGTTCCATCCAGTGTCGGTGCATCCGCCAGCTCCTCAAACCTTGTCATGTCCTGGTCAAAACCTGCTTGAGGTTTGGTGGACTTCAGGCACAGGATGATTCTAGAATGTGCTGGTCCAGTTATATCGTGAATGTTCAGAGCGGTGCCTTCTGCTTCATAATAGCGAAATCCTGGGTTCACATCGTTGTCATAGTGGACCGATGTGCAACTGTCAGCGTAAGCAACCGGAGGTCGCTTATGGATACTCTTAGCTAACCTGACCGAAACTACGTTCTCGATGCGGAAAATGTTTCTGATAAGGTATTGTAAAGCTAGATGTACCTTAAGAGATAGACGGCTTGCGCTTGTCATCTGAAGCGTGCCCTTCTTGGTCTCTACACAGCCAAATGTCATAGCAGGTCCCCCCGCGGGTAAACTGGCCACGAACGTCAACACTGTCCGTAGTGCAGCGCTGCCGGAGCCAATTTCTCTTGCTATTCAAGCTTCAAAGTAGAATGAATGTCGTGCATCGCCGTACTATACCTGAACATCGCGGTTTGCCACTCGAATGATGATTTGACCCATGTCGGGATCGTTCCTTACAACTGGGAATGGGCCATTCCAGCCTCCCCAGTCGTCCTTCGTGGTTGTAGGGCGGTGGTAATCAACTAAATCTCCTTCATCGTAGTAGTGCTGACCAGTAACAAGTGTTTTGGTGCGTAATGCACGGTTCGTCTTGGCTACTTCTGTGGCCTGTGTGATAGCTTCAATGCATACCTTGCGTATCATCTGTTCACGAGAATGATCCGACGTCTCCGTTGGCTGTTCGTGGTCCAGGACAGGTAAGTCAGAGAGCATTGCTGGTTGCCGTCCAAGCAGGGCGTTCTATGGAGACACCTCGTTGTAGAAGGTGAACGCGCTGGCGGCAAACAATGCAGTAGTCGTGTGAACACAGGAGGTATGTCTAACCTGTTGAGTTCAGCTTCCATGACATGAAGTAGATGGGATGGCGTAAAATGCCATTTCTGGCTTCGATAGTCGTAGCGTGTTGTCAACGCGCACGTATCATTACTCCAGTGCCCTTTGCCTTAAGGACTGCTTTCGCAATGTCGTTGTTGAGGGCGCCCTCTCCGTCGGAGTAGAGTGCTTTTGCAGGTCCAAACTGCATGCAGCACTGATGGTATGCATCCAGGATGCTGGTCATCGTCTTGTCTGGTAGCTCCATTCCAGGAGCATATCGAATGCAACGATCGACTGAAATATATTGTGTTCGTACAACGTCAGGTCACATTCCACTTCTTCGTTGAATTTGCCAGGCAGTGCAGTAGATGGCATAAACGCATGCCCTGGCTTGTCCCGAGCCCTGCACTCCCGACATGTGTCGTAGACACCCTTGATCAGGTGGAGTCTGACGCTGTCCAGACCTATCTTGGTTAAGATGAGTCTCATCCTAGGTTCTTTCGCATGGGCCCACCCAAATGTAGCTTCCGCAGCTCGCGTTTCGCCACGCTTGGGTCAAAGCTTCGTACATTTT